ACAAAAACAAGATCAAAGGTAAACTGCCCACAGCTACTTCCAGAGCAGCAGCACATCAAATGGTTGACGCTTTACATTTCATGATTGCCAATCCTCATCAACCATTCAACGCCGAATGATTGGATGAAACATCATTGCCATTCAAAACACTACAACAAAACATCACTGAACTAGCATTTCTAATTAAAATTGCCGCAAATAATCTCTTAATGTTGTATTAACACAACTAATAATATCCCTGGAACAGATAACTTGAAGTCCCACTTCCGGAGTTGAACAAAAGCCTGGCCAATAAATCTCTTATTGTTCATAGCAACGAAATTAATAGACACCACCAACCGGTATCCATTGCTACCAACATCCCTCCATACCACGTCATTGATCCACTCGGACCTTTTTCTCGAAAAGGAGGATTAGCCCGGACCTCTGCATCAAGCGATGCACACAACCATGATCTACCTACTTTCCAATATGGCATCGAGGACAGGGCCCCAGAACCTCGAATTGAACGGACGAGGGAACTCTTCCCTTGATGTATCTATCCGCAGTCTCCACAGCTCTATGAGCTTCCTCGAGACCTCTCTTGCTCAACGACCAGCATTGGCCAATCATTCTCGCGGTTGGGAATTTGGCAATGTTACAAGTCTTCCTATCGTAGCCATAGGTTATGTCCAGCGTGAAGCGCTCGAGTGAATGTGTTCTCTCGAGGATGTGAACTGTGAGCTCAACCAGGCTCTTGGCAGAACAGAAGCCTGTGATCAATACCTTCCTTAGGCTGTTATTCCGGCCCTTCAGATTCTGCCTCCGGTATTCAGTGTCGTCTCCAACAACAGGATCATGGATCATGGCATCCTGCTCTACCTGCAGATACATATGCAGGATCAAATAACATTCTTCTGATTAATTTTACATGAATAGTAGCATAGATAGCTCTGAGGGATGTACATAGTGACTTACACGTAGGATGAAAGATTCCAAGGCAGGAGAAGCGTCAAGAAAAGAAACCAGAGAGAAGACATGATAGTTTGGGGAATAGAAGGGTTTAAGGAATGAAATTTCCAAGTTCTTGAGGTGGGGGAGCTTGGACGGCAGCATCGGAATGTTGGCATTCTGAAAAATAAATCCCAAGATTAATCATGTTTTATTGCAACATACAAGTCTAAGTGTACATACATACATACATACACATTCTTGAATGGTCCTTATAATTTGATCGTTGAGACATTAAAACCAACACATACCTCACATCGACCGTGCAGGGTGAGGCTCTCAACATTTTGCGCGATAGACGGAAGGCTAAAGCGAGCATAAGAGAGAATACCGAACAGGTTGACAGGTGAAATATCTACATTCTTAAGTTGTGAAGAATTTCGGACATAGATGGCCGGTGTCCTGCCATAATGATAGACGTCCGGTATCCCGCCATAGTGAAAAGAGCAAAGCTGTGGAGCATCTATCTCTACCAAGCCAATTATCCCACTACATGCTTCAATCTCCAGCCACTCCAGGACGGAAGATTTAGAGAGCAAGTGCGCTAATCCATCCTCAGTAACGTGGACATGACACAGACTTAAACGTTTCAATCTTCTCAAGCGCCCAAGTATTGAGGTGGGATGAAAAGCGCAACCAAAGAGGCTAAGAGACTGAATTGAACTTGCAGCGGCCTCATTAGATAAAACCGAACACGGGAAGCTGTAGCTTTTATTCATGACCAAAGACATCACCAAGCTAAATTCTTGGATCCCAGGTTTAATGATCCGGAGCCACATGTCGAGGTAGGAGGCTTTGATATCTTTGCAAGGGCCAAGACAAAGTTTAAGTGTCTTCACCTTCATCCCGTTGTCATAATGGTTTGTTAGAATTTTGTCAACTTTATAAGTGAGATGGGTTTTCGTTTCCTCAAATGTTCTGCCAAGCAAACCAAGTGTACGGTCGCTAAGTATGAGGTTGGAGTAGTGTCTCCAGGAGTGCAGAAATCCACGGGACACGCAGGCGGCACGAGCAGCGTCTTGTATTGGCATGAGAGAATGTATATGATGCAAGATGTCCTGCAAAACCGATGTTGATAAGTTCAACCATTAGCTTGTAGCTTGTAGCTGAGCTGACTGCAATGAACTACACCAGCAGTTGCGGATTCATCGCCGAAGTCGTATGCCCAGATGCATCGTGTTCCTGTGCTAGCAGTTGTGACAAAAAACAAAATCCTTGTGACTAGGATGGTTCATTGCCAGCAACACATACCTCTGGGAGTTCCTCCAAACCAAGTTCTTGTCTCATATTTTAGGCACCTTCACCTTGCTCGCAGGTAGTCGATGATACCTTTGACCCACTACCTGCAACCCAGCAGAGCTCTTAAGTACTCCCTAGTAATGCTCTTATATTTCTTTACGAAGGGAGTATGTCTCAGTTTTGCTCATGCAACTCAAATTTTGCAAGAGAGATGAAAGGTAAAAAGATGGTGCGCAGAAGCTGAAATAGGCAGAAACTCAAATAATCTGAAATTTGCTGAAATTGTTTGTCTAGGATTTTTTGAAAGAAAAAGAAAACACATTATTAGAGGAGCCACCCTTCGTGCTAGCCTAGTTTTCTGCAGTATCTAGGATTTCCAAGCTGAACTGGCGATTAGGGCGGAGTGAGATCGGTTTTGGTCCAAAACAGAAGAATCGAGATGCATCAGAGAACAGACGTATTTTTGCAGGAGCATGAAGTTTCCGCTGCCGACGAAGGTGCCGGTGCCGACGCCGTGTCCTGCGCAATGCGTTGTGGATCGCGGCGAATCGGGATAGCGATCGAAGTGACCCTGCGGTGCGCCGACGAGCGGGGGACATGGTCACATGGGTAGTGGACGAATTCACGTGCGAGAGGAATCCGCCGTCGAGGCGTCGTTCGTGGGTCAGAATATCCCACCACCCTTTCAATGATATATCTGGGCTACACGCAGGCTGGTGCGGTGTCCGGGCCTTCCCTGGGCCGGTTTCTGATGCGGCGGCCATCCATGGGCCCGTATGGTCTACGGTATTGACCGGATGCCAGAAGGGTTTGATGGGAGTTCCTATGCGCCGCTCGCTGCGGCGAATTGCCGAGCGGACGCACAGGCGCGACTCCATCTGGGCCGGCCCATTAGCATAATACAGTGAAAAATCCCAAAAAATACTACTCGAGGGAGGGATCGAACTTGGGACCTCGCGTTGCTCTCACACATGCCTAGCCAACTGGATAATGAAGCCTTCTTGGTTTAGTAGCGCGCGAAGCTACAGGTAATGTAGATCCCAACATTTTGTAAAATTCCGAACGTGATCATTATTTTGAAAAGATATTTTTGTAAATAAAAAAGCGAACAGTTTTCAAATTTGATAAGTAAAATAAAAATCTTGAACATTTTTTGAATATGTGAACAATTTTTTTAATAAACTGAACACATTTTTGAAAATCACGAACATTTTTTAATATATGAACAAATTTTTGTTAACGGGAACACCTTTTGAAACTCTGAACAAAAATTTGCAAACGCAAATATTTTTGGAATCCATGAACAATTTTTGAACCAAGAACATTTTTTCAAACTAAGAACAAAATATGGAAATGAAAACATTTTTAATTTTTTTGAACCTTTATTGAAAAAGATGAACATTTTTTATGAAATCAAGAACATTTTTTAAAACTGTGAAATATTCTTAAATAACGAAAAAGGAACAGGAGAAAATAAGAAGAAAAACGAAAAAAGAAGATGAACATTTTTCAAATTCCAAAACAAATTTGGGATACGTGAACATTTTTTTAAAATTGGAAAAAAAGTGAAACTCCTGAACAAAATTGGGAAATGTAAACATTTTGAAAAATTCACGAACATTTTTTGAAACTCCCAAACAAATTAGAAATGGGCCAATTCCAGTTCTGCCCCTAACTCGAACCCACTACTCAGTTTTGCTCCTAATTTTTGGGTATGCTCAGTTTTGCCCCTCTATCGTTAGTGCCACTTATAGAAATGCCCCTCCGAGCCATTACCATCCAGTCAAAGGGCGTTGACCATTTTCTGGGCGTCTACTGGACATTTTTGCCCCTGGAAAAAAATAAAACAGAAATTACAAAATAAAAGAGAAAGGACACGCTTACCTTTTGGCCCAGGACGGTCCAGTCAGCCCAGCCAACTGGCTCATCATCCTCCCCCTCTGCCGAGGCCAAGGGCATGTCGCCCACATGCTCACCTAAGCGTCGCCGCACCCGTGGCCAATGCCGTCGAGAGGCCGCGCCGCCATGTCCCCGATGCCCGCCGTCAAGCTATGAATCACCACGCCAGCGATAGAGACGTCGGGTGCCCTTCAACTTCTCAACCGAAGCCATCTCCGCAGCATCTGTCCGTCGGCCGCCATCTTCGATTCGCCGTCGTTCGAGATCCCCTGACGCTAAAGTACCGTCCCTGAGATCCATATGTCGCAGTGGATCTTCTAGACAACTCACCGATGAGCCCCTCTTCGTACAACCCCCTCCTCACGATACCTTGCTCCGGCGGCCGTAGACGGGGTACATGTGCTCGCCATCGGGCCTCGGGAGTCTTTCTACCACTCTGGCATGCACGCGGTGAGGCCCTCTCCCCCGTGCCTTCCAGCCCCTCTACCACCATGCTTCGACCGGCGCCGCCGCTGGCCTCGTCCATGGCCGAGACTCCGACCGTCCCTGCTCGCCCTGCCACTTCAGTTCGAGTCCGAGCAAGCCCAGGCGCATGCGCAGGACGAAATCACCGCCGTTTCGATCGCCGGACAAAGCTCCCATGCCCTCTGCCGTGGCTCGCCGGCGGCTTAACGCCGGTGGTTTGACTAGGATTAGTGCACTTCCTATGACAGTGGGGCCTATTAATTAGTTTAACCCTAATCCTAATTAGTGAGACTAATCTGTGTGCCCTAACAGTTAACAAAACTACTAATCATTTAGAAAAATAACTAGACACTTACATGTGGGGTCCCACATGTAAGTGAGAGAGAGTTTTTTTTCTGTGATGGGTCCACATGTAAGTGAGTGAGAGAGTGGATATGGTTTTTATTTTTATTTTTATTCAGTGGGTCCCACCCGTAAGTGACACATGTAGTCAGGGGCAAAATGTCCAACAAACGCCCAGATAGCGGTCAACGCCCTTTGACTGGACGGTAACGGCTCGGAAGGGCATTTCTGTAAGTGACACTAACGGCAGAGGGGCAAAACTAAGCATACCTAAAAATTAGGGGCAAATGTGAGTAGTGGGTTCGAGTTAGGGGCACAGGTGCAAATGTCCCATTAGAAATAGACACTTTTTGAAGTTTGCAAACAAATTTTGAAACTACTAAACAAAATTGGAAAATACAAACATTTTTCTTTTAAATTGCGAATGAAATTTGAAAGAGGAACATTTTTTGAAACTCCTGAACAAAATTTAAAAACGTGAACATTTTGTTAAAAAATGGAGAATATTTGAAAGGGAACTTTTTTTCTAAATATGCAAACATTTTTATAAAAAATGTAGAATTGCTTTTTGAATTTGTGAACGAAAGATAATAACAGGAACATTTTTTTAACTTTCGAACATCTTTTTGAATTTTTGTTTTTTTTTTGAAATTCTCGAGGACAAGAAGGAGAAGAAAAAGGAATTACAACAAAAAAAGAAAAAATGAAGTAAAGAAACAGAAATAAGGAAAAAGAAAAGGTATTTTTAAAAACCCAAACATTTTCTGAAACTACGGAAGAAATTTGAAAACGTGAATAATTTTTGGAAAGACAAACATTTTTTGAAAAACGAGAATTTTTTGAAACTCCCAAATTTTTGTAGATGCAAACTTATGTGAAGAATTTTCAAGAGACACAAATATTTTTTGAAATAAAAACGAAAAAGAAAAAAAGAAGAAGAAGCAGAAAAAGGAGAGAAGTAAAAAAAGAAACAGAAACAAAAGAAATTGAGGCAGTATAAAACCGGTTTAGGAACCTTCTAGAAAGTTCCCAAAACCGAAGAAAACCGGTTCAGGCACCTCCTGGAAGATTCCCAAAACCGGATGACAGAAGTGGTGGGCGGGCCGGCCCAAATCCTCCCTCGCTGGCAAACGTCTGTGCGAAAGCCCTACAACTTGACG